GTTTGACACCTCAGGTTGGGTATCAGACTCCAGCATCTCTGTTTCTGGGAAGATAGTTCTTTTATTGTTTACTGATTCTCTGAATTGAGAGCAAGTTAATTTATATCCACATACTACTACTTTATTTTAAAAAGAGAAAATTTTCAGTTAAATACACACTGATTTTAGTTAAATCAGCTGGTATTTAAATATGTTAAGTTGATTACCCAAATAGCATGCAGCTTGTTGCCACCTGTTGCCAGTTACTGGATAGGATCCAGTTCCTAGCACTCTTTTGATGCCACGAAGACACGGGTCAGTTGGTAACAACCACTAAATTTTTTAACTCGACCCTGAAGTGATAGCAGGACTGATATTTACAAAGAGCATCTCACCTGATATGTTCGAATCAGATTCAGGAACGGCTTTAATAGAAGAATACAACAAACCAAGAAAACATGGCAAACTAATAGAACAAAGAGTTTTTGATGTATTTTGAGCTGGAATGTGTTCTGTTGAATCTATCAGTAGACGTGAGACAGAAGTGATGTGTTTTGTTTGGATTTTGGTTTTGATATTATGGCATTAATACTTTAAAAGAAGGCTGTATGTCTTTTTTTTTTTTTTTTTGAAAATGAGATTGTCAGCGTTCATCCATCCATCCATTATCTTTTACTAGAGCCGAACAATTTTGTAAAATACTCTTAATTGTAATTTTTTACCTCATTGTTGCGATTGCGATTTACTATGCATTTTTTTAATCAATGTCTTCTTCTCGTGTCTTTTTCAACAAACACAAGCAATAAATCTGTTTCAGTTGCAAAAAAACTCCACAGTTTTGAGCTCCGCTGCAACTCTGTTTCTGCATTTTTTGTATAGCTTCGGGATAGCAACTCAGCTAAAATGTGTGTGCCGCTTATCCATTGTGTTTACCAAAGCCGTAAACCCAGGCTCAGTCACTATATTAATGGGCATCATGTCTTTCGCTATGAACTCCGTTACTGCTCGAGTTATTTCCGCGTGCCGTTTTAAATTATGTGTTCATACCGAATGATACTTTCAAACAGTTCTGTCGGTGATCCATGTCGGCTGGTATTGTGATTACTTTAAGTTGAAGCACTGGTCGTTGGCATTCTAGCCATGCAACCATCGTAAATGGCTTTGTGGTGTTTTTGTTGAAGTGTTGATAAAGGTTTGTGGTGTTATTTTGAGAAGTAGCAACAGCAGAAAGGCAGGTTCTGTACAATACACGTCGTTGCGCAGCGTCTTCTTTTTTATAGACACAATAATTCCAAATAACGGACGTGCTGCCCCTCTTTGGTACCAAACTTTCAGATGTGTCGGCTTCTGTCGAGACTGACACCACTGTGCAACCGGTTAAAGCGCAGTGTTGACTTCTCCCGCTTCCTGCCAGATCATGTGACCAGTCAAATCGCAGCCTTTGCAATTAGAAAATCTCATTTTATCTTATTGCAATATTATTGCAAATGCAATTAATTGTTCAGCCCTATCTTTTACCCGCTTGTTCCTTTTCGGGTTGCGGGGGTCACTGGTGCCCATGTCCAGCCATCACTGTGCGAGAGGCAGGGGCCACCCTGGGCAGGTCTCCAGTCCATCACAGAGAGAGACAAAGGAGACAAACAACCATTCACTCTCTCACTCTCACCGAGGGACAATGTAGAGTTACCAATCAGTCTAACATGCATGTTTTTAGTCTGTGGGAGGAAACCGGAGTACCTGGAGAAAACCCACGCATGCACAGAGAGAACATGCAAACTCCAGCAGAAAGGTTGCGGGCCGGGATTTGAATCGACAACCTTCTCGCTGAGAGACAAGAACTCTACCAACTGCGCCACCGTGCCGTCAACGTCATTCTGAAAATACATTTGTGTGAAAGTTTTTGAGTATTTTTTTAAAATAAACGTTTCATCTGCCTATTGTAAAAGTTTGTCATAATTTTGTTTTGATGCTGTTTATTTGTACGAAACACTTTCACCTAACCAAGATGTTTAGGCTCCTTCAGGCCCAGGTCTCCCTTGCAAATGAGATCTGTGATATCTCAGGGATTTGCCTGGTTAAATAAAGGTTAATAAACCAACTAGCCACCACAGTGGTTCACTGCAGGCATGTCCTCACCGGTGCAGTCAGTTCACATAGTCCTGCAGAGCCAGACTGATGCGGTACCACTGCTTGGCCAGTGAACATACAGGTAGTGTGGCTCTCTTAAAAACAAAAACATTGTAAAACCTTTTCTATTTTGAAGAATATTTGCTGTTTGTGTCACATTTGTTTAGCTGTTCCATCTGGTTTTACTTCTTTCACTTAAGCTGTTTGGTCAGCCGTAGGAAGAGCATCGATCCCTCAATCATTCCACTGATAGGAGAGGTCACGGTTCAAAGGCACTTCACAGTTGGCGAATGTTTTCACTGTAGTGATATGACGCACAATGTGAGAAAAAGATTGAATTTATTGGAAGAACAGTTGAGATCAAGGATTTAATCTTGCTGAAATTTAATCCACCGTTCTTATGCGTTTGTTTTGTAAAAATTAAATTCAGTTTTGGTTTTCCGTCATTTAAAGAGCAGGGGGCAGTGTGGATACATAATATGACAACATTAAGGCAGTTTTTGTCTGTTTGACAATTTAAAGAACAACATTAAATATATATATTTTAACAGAACAATTTGGAATGTCACATTCAATGCACTATTCCTTCTCTCTGAGAATCTTAAGGCATCCCAGATGAGCTTTCAGTCTCCGTAGAAGCTTACTTTTCTGCCAAGTACTACTAAAGCATCGGTTAATGAGTCCCAGACTGAATCTGAATGTAAAACATGTCGGTGGCATTTGCAACATCTGTTGAATTGTTGCAGATTGCTAAATATCACATTTTAATCGTTAAACAATCATGTTGTCTGCTTTTTATTCTCGACATTTGCGTGCAGACCGGTACTGGATGCTTTCCACTCCCTATCCCTGTGAACTCTGTTAATCACATCAAAATTTCCCCACATTTTACAGGAAAACAGCGATTTAACTGAATATTTCTTTTTTTCCCATGATTCTATAGTTTATTTTAACATGTTGGTTAAGTGTAATATATAGTACATCGGTGATTTTTTTTTTGGTTTTGTTTTATTGATCAGCTTTTTTTTCTTTCATTGTTGGAAAAAGTCTTATCTAATTTGACAGTTTGACCAGTTCACTTCTGAAACCAGAAGATATTACTGTAATTTCCAAACTATAAGCCGCTGCTTTTTTTTTTACATGCTTTGAACACCGTGGCTTATTCAATGCTGCTGCTAATTTGTGTATTTTTTTTGGCAGACTAACAAGCTTCATGCCACCAAAACATTTAGCCTCGTCACACCCGGGCGCTCACATAGCTGCCCAATACACGTCTCTCTGGGGGGGGGTTCCTCATGATTCAATGACTACCAGTTTATTTATTTTTTATTTCGGCTTCTCCCTACTTGAAGGTTCATCACAGCGAACTAAGTCGCACGAAGACTTGGCAATTATTTTTACGCCGGATGTTCTTCCTGACGCAACCGCAGACCACCGAGCTACCACAGCCCTCTGTGTGGAGCAGGGAGCTGATATCTAGGGTGCCCGGGGGAGCAGATGGTGGAGGTTAAGGGCTTTGCTCAAGGGCCCAGAGTGGGGCAAATGAGGGTGGAGGCAGGTGTGGGTGTTTCACTTATTCCACCCACATTTTGATTTTGTCTGTACCGCGAGTTAAACCGGCGATCTTCCAATCATAGGCCCACCTCCTCTAACCTCTGCACCACCACTCCCAAAACCAACTGTATAAATAAAGGCTAATAAAAATGGAAAAAAAAAAACTTGACCAATGAAATTACCAAACAGGTCATAGTGGACCAATGAAACTTGGATTCATTTGTGTCATTTGTATCATTTGTGTATGTTACCTGTATATATATAATTAAAAGTTTAAAAAATCTTTCTGTGTAAATATCTTATGTTACAACGTGGACACCTGCAGCTTATAGGCAAGTGCAGCCTATATATGTATAATTTTTAGAGATGCACGATATTGGTTTTTTGACCGATATCCGATATGCCGCTTACCAATACCAATACCGATATTTTTTCCCTAGACCTACTTACAGAGGCTACATGACTTTCTCTGCTGTGGAATTAAAATACTACATTATTCTGCATGGTCTTTGTCAATTTGGCCTGCTACCAAATGCAGATGCCAAAAAGGGAGCTGAAAATGATGTAACGCTAAATAAATATATACATCCATTATCTTTACCCGCTAATTCCATTTCGGGTCATGGGCGTCGCTGGTGCCCATGTCCAGCAATCACTGTGCGAGGGGCAGGGTACACCCTGGACGGGTCGCAAGTCCATCACAGGGTCACATAGAGACAAACGAGACAAACAACCATTCACTCTCTCACTCACACCTTGGGACAATTTAGAGTTACCAATTAGCCTAACATGCATGTTTTTGGTCTGTGGGAGGAAACCAGAGCACCCGGAGAAAACCCACGCATGCACGGAGAGAACATGCAAACTCCACCCAGAAAGGCCCCTGGACCAGGGTTTGAACCAGGGACCTGCTCGCTGAGAGGCAGCAGCTCTACCAGTTGCGCCACCGTGCTGCCCTAAATAAATATATATTAAAAATAAAACAGCACCTTTTATATCAGTGAGTTATTTTGATGGAATGGCCGATGTCCGATATTTAACTATCGCTAATATCGTCCGATACCGATACCATGCCGATAATATCGTGCATCCTTAATAATGTTTCCCCTTTTTTTAATTTAGTGGGCGGGGCTTATATTCAGGCGCTCTCAGTAGTCCGAATATGGTATGCAGACTTTACAAGTATCACCTAATTTCGGATATTTTACCAAGTTGGCTTATAAAACATTATGTTTTTGAGATCTAAATAGTTCATATTTGTGTTAAATTGAAATCTTCATGCCCATTTAAACATTTATTTCAACTACTTTTCTTGTTACTTTGCTGTGCTCTAATTACAGGCCTTGAGCGAGAGGCCGTTCATCCAGAAACTGTTTCGTCCTGTTTCACCCGAAGGCAACACACACACACTTGGAGACCTGTTGAAAGAGATGTACCCAGATGCTCTATTGAATGATGGTAAGCCAACAAACAGGCTCAGATGTTGGATAAAAACATTGAAGTTTCGCTTTTGTGAATAATGAAAAACATTCAGTGATTTGTTCTTATCTGATATGTTTTAAAATGAAATACTGCTCATAAGAGTGGGATAATGTTTCCAAAAAACATTTTCACAAGTCTAACACACCAATCTGACGGCTAAATACCAAAATGTGGTAGTTAAAAAGGGGATTTTTAAAAATGTATTTATGGGGTCATGTTCTCTACAAGTAAAAGACAGTAACTATCAGTTTTATTGTATTTACTCTATATACACATTTATTCTGTCCAGATGTATTTCTGGGATTACATTTCTTTGAAAGTACAAACTATGGAGAAGCTAAATGAAAGAAAATTAAAGCAGTTTTTATAAACCGTTAAAATATGGATAAATAGGAGGAGTGCAGATGGAGAGTGAAGCGATTTGAAGAGGTGACCACAAATATTAATTGATGTAAGTGTGCTCCAAAAACAACAACAGGTAACATTTAGTCCAAACAAAACTGTTAAAAATATATAAGACATATAAAAAAAAAAATTCATAGAATTGTTGTATTGTTTAATATACAAGCTTATATAAAAGTCCGAACATAAATACTAAAAATGTACGTTTTTATTGAGTCCCAGACTTTCAAATCCTTCAAAACACGCTTTCTTAACATTTAGAAATCTTTTGAGACGTTTTAGAAAACAGTGATGACGATTCTAGTTTTCACTTTAGGTGAAGTTGGTCTGGAAATTTAAATCTTGTGAAAGGAACCAAACATTTACTGGTTTAATGTGAAGTTCTTGATACTTTAGCTCTACTCGCTGCAGTACATTATACCATAAAGCTAAAACTGGCGTATGAAATCTAGATTAGTTGCAGCTGTGGTGAAGGAGCGTTGATGATGAAAGAAAAGATGAGAGGAGAATTATTGGGAGAGGGCAAGCAGCAGTCTAAACACATGCTGTCTGCGGGGGGGGGGGGGGGGGGGGGAGATAAAGAGACAATAGTGTTGGGACAGAAGACCCGCAGGAGACTCACCTGCACAGTGGCGACAACCATTAACACCACCCTTCTTCTGTCTGCCCACCTGTCTGTCCAACGTTCTTTTTTCTTAATGTCTCACATTCACTTTCATTAACAAGAAGGAAAATCTTATATTATACCAACAAAAAAAAAAAATGCATTTGTTAAAACTAGTAGTGTGTTTTTCTTTCACTGTATTCAGATGCTGGTAACATGCAAATATAAATTTAATTCCAAATTTATAAAAGCATGCAGCTTGAACAATGGAGTGGCTCCAGGATCTGTTTTCCACCCACGTTTTGGGATTTATCTCTTTATTTTTTTATGTTTTTTATTTTTAATGAGGTGGCTCTGCAGCGTTTGTCCAAAATCAAGTTTTATAATCAAGATCTAAAATAACTGTTGTGTCAGGGGAATGGATAGACTCTGGTCTCTTACGACATTAATCAAGATTTTGTTGTCCGAATGCTTGAAAATAGAGCCAATACAGTGACTAATCTGCCTTTTCTGTGAAGATCCAATAAGCAGTTCGAGCTTTTTAGTGTTTCCCTATTTAATTTGTTTTCATTTTTACTGCTACCCACTCTTTTTTAATGTGTTTAACATCAGCTCTGATTGACTTTATAATCAAGTCTGTATTGCAAAAAAACCCCGACAAATGTTGACTGCTGTTTGTGACAGAATGTAAACTCTGTATAAATTTAGACTGGCAATATTAAACAGTCCAGAAGGTTAAACAAACATTACAATCTATGTTGTTGGGTTTTTTTTTTGTTCTGTGGTCTTGAAACTTTGAACAAGTTCTAGTGACGTCCAGCTAATAAACAAAAAGTTGTACCACAGAGCCAGACCAAATAAAAATGTTGTGTAATTTGTAGCACTTATTAAAGCTACAATTACCATCACTGTGTGCTCCAAATGCACAAAGATATAACGTTTTATGTGCATTACTTTGTGGAATTTCCCAATAAGTTGTTAGATTTAGTCTTCAAAACAGAATGACATTCATCAACACCCGACTCTAAACTAAAGCTGCTGTTAAACTTGTTTTTTTTTTTTTTACATTATTTAAACTGTTTCTGTCTCATCATAAATTAATTTAACTGTTATTAAATTGCCAGAGTTGTTATGTTTTTCTAAAGCTTGCGTGACTGTTTAGTGGGGACAGAAATCTGTCCTTGCACCCGTTTTCTCTTTTCTTGTTGTTTCTCTGATCTACGACTCATTTTTGCTCTTTGATCCCATATCTCTGTCTCAGGTGTAGTCTTCAACATCTTCTGTCTGTTGTGGACGTCTTTTATGTCTTTGACCTTAAATCTCTGCCTTTCTTTTCTCTCCTCCCCCCCCCAGAGGAGCCTGCCAGCCTGCCTGGTTGATCAAGGTGAAAGTGGCCCTTTTGTCTCCGGTCGTTTGTTTGGTTTCTGCCTCTTCCTCGGCTGGTAGATGAGTTTGGCGATAGCCCTGGATTATGGTGGTGTGTTTGGATTAAAGAGCGCAGGAAGTGTGCTCAGGGACTGTGCAGTGTAATGGTGTTTGGGGAGGAGGATGAGAGGGAGTTAGGGGGGGGTGCTGGTACTATTGTTCATGAGTTCAGAGAACATTTTCTAGGACCCTATATTACAAAAAGATCTGGGGTGCTGCACTTCTCTGTGATCTTTCAAACATCAAACCGTTTTTTTCTTTCTTTTTCAAACGTATTTGCTCTCTGTTATGTCTGAGAGAGCGGATTGCTGTTGACCCCTCCGGGACCCAGAAACCAGTTGCAGCAAACAAATAGGGGTGGCTTTCATTAGGAGCAAAAAATGAAGGGGATTCCCAGATCACACTAAAGCAATGGACAAAGATCTGCATCGCAGAGATGTTGCCCCCGCGCTTCATGAAACAAACTCGCAACGTTGTGTTCCTGTAAGCAGCGGTCAGCGCTGGCGTGTTTGAGCCGTGTCATGTGTTTTGTTTCTCCGACCAGGTGTGCTGTTGAGCAAGACGTTGGCCAAACTTTGGTTTATGTTTGTTACAGAACTCGCAGACTGAAGTGTCATGCTGCCCACACATTACACATTCATTGACAAGCAGTTCTCGTAAGGAAAGTCTTATTTCTTGTAATTTCGTTTTGGAAGCGAGCCCAATCAAGTACAGGAAAAAAAAAAAGAGGCCTGTATTGATAATTCTTTGTGAATAATCAGAGGAAAACCCCCTATATCATCGTGATCCCACCCACAACCCCACCTTGACCTCGCAGATGAGTGACAAATCCACACTGTTCTCCTCTCACGTTTTTCCATCTCAGACCCATCTGCGCAACAGCCCACGCTACTCGCATGCTTCCTTGCAGCGGTTGCCTCAGGAGTAATTCTTTTCCTTATCGAGCAGAACGGCTCGCTTTAGAGGCTGAAGGGGGAAGTGCAGGTTTCAGTGGCTGTTTTGATGCTGAACATAGTGGGTTATGTGTTCGTGTGCAGGGGTGTATGAGATGTACACCACACTGGGGAATTCAGAGAAACTCAGGTTAATGGCAGCTATCTACTGTTGATTGAAATGTGCACGATTTAATAGCATTGCCGTCTAATTCTGCCCACAAAACTTGAAAAAAGGGCTCCTTAGTTTAACTTTATAGTCATTTTTCTACATGAAAGCGTTTCAGTGGTTGTTGAGTTTATTTATTTTAAATGTCTTGAAACTGTGTTTTGTTGTACACTGGTTTTATGAATAGACCCGCTTCAACAATTCTTAAAGTTTAAATTAAATATGACTGACGTTGATATGCAAACATATCTAACTGAACAGCTTTGTTGGGGAAGTTCTGCAGTGCATCAGTACTTGATTTTAACTTTACTTATATATTTTTACATTATAATATTACACCTAAAATAGTTGATGTATTGCCCAGTCATAATGGAATAAACTGTAGTACATTATGGTTGGTTATAATTTATCAACTAATTTTCTCAAATTACAAATGTTTAAATACTTGTGTCTTCTTGTAATAATAAAGTGCAAAATAAATTTTGTCTCATAAAATGTCAAGTTTTGTAACATCGTTAACCCTTAGATCCTGGACACGCAGTTTAAAATTGTTTGAAATACCTAGGCCACGATAACAAATTTTACTGGGCGATTAATTGTCTCAGAAAATATTGCGATAAACGATAATATTGTTTGAAATTTGACAATAATTAGTAATTGTCCAATTTAAGAAGAAATGTTGGTTAATTTTGTGTGTAGTACATTTTTTTTGACCACCGGATGGCAGTATAAGACTGTTCGAATCGAAGGATGGATAGTGAGGGAGCGAGCAACGTGTCTCTTTAAGCAAAATGGGAGGGAGGTCCCTTGACGTGACACGAGCTGTCTCTCGTTCCTGTTTTTCAGTTCTAAAAATGGCGGACGCTCGGTGTGGTTTGAGCGCTTTAACGTAGCATTTTTCACACAACGCTTTTAATAAAAAAATCAGTAAACAAGTTCTCATCTTCTTTTTGCAGAAAAAAAAACTTTTTAGACGAAGGCACGGGTTTCAACCATGAATTTTGGAGCTTTGACAAGACAAAGGTTTTTTTCCCCGAGGTCAGCCTGTTAGCTTAGCTCGTAGCTTAGCTTCTTTTACCGATCCAAAAAATGCGCTTTTGGACGGTTAAAACAGATTTTAAAGAGAAAGGGATGGGTCAGTGAAGAGCACCGGAGTTGAGCCTTTTGTCATCCAGTGTCTTCAGTAGAAAGAGACACGAAGAAACGATAAAGCAGATAAATGAAAATGAGTTTGATCATTTTCATTTATCATGCGATTAACTGATTTATTGTTTATCGTGACAGGCCTAGAAAAATCCCATACTGGTTGAATACCCTTTTACTGTGCCAGTGAATAAATTGACACTGCCATGTACAAACATACAACACTAGATGACGATGATAGTTTTTTTAATTGCATCTATACTAACCGAGAAACATCAGTATTCTATTACAGAGCAGAACA